CTTTGGATTACATGATTGACACCATGCCCAATTAGTATTATATCTCTTGCAAGTTGGACATTCCCCATATTTTTTATCTCTTTTATCAGAATATTCATCCTTTTTATCAGTAGAAGTATCGTCATGATGCTTATTTTTATCCAAAGTGTTTCCCATCGTGGTTTTTTATTATATTTGTATAATTTGTCAAAAAAAAAGAATTTTTTTTTCAGCCACAAATATGTATCGCACAAAATAAATATTCCGTTAAAAAAATTTTAATTACAACAAATTCGGCATGACACCCTAAAGTCGTTAAAGCCATAAACCGTAATAAATATTGCGAGCGTTATTGGAGTCACCAAATTTGGCAAACTAAATTAAAAACACTATATACAACTATACTGCTTGATTAGGGTTTCTATTCGAATCACTCGTTTATTCGAATTATTTTGTTTTACTATGAATTTAATTCAAAATGAAACGAATAAAATAAAAACAAATAATTCGAAATAAAATAATTTAAATAAACGAAATAAAACAAATAATTCGAATAAAACAAATAAACGATTAATTCGAATAAACTAACGATAATAATTCGAATAAACGAATGATAATTTGATAAACGAATAAACGAATGATGACAATTCGGATAATAAAAGGAAGATGACAATTCGAATAATAAAAGAATGATGACAATTAGAATAATAAACGAATGATAACAAATTCGAATAAGACCTATATTTTATAAAATGAGTAAACTAGTAATTTGAATAAAACGGATAAAACGAATAAAATGAATAAAACGAATAATGAATAAAACGAATAAATTTTTTTAATTCGAATATAACTAATAATTCGAATATAACGAATAATAATAATTCGAATAGATTTTTAATTCGAATAAATTTTTTTGTTTCGAATAATTTTAATTCGAATTAATATTAAATATTGACTGTATTAGTATTACGAAATAAAAAAATATATGATAAAGAAAATTAAAATCATTATTGTTTTAATAAATAAAATAATAAGATTATTTTTCTTCCAAAGTTTTCTGCTTTCTGTTGGGTAATAGCACACTTTCATTTTACTTTCATTTTGCTTTCTTTTCTTAATGTTTATTATTTTTCTTTCTTCTTGGTAAATTTCATAAGTAATCCTTTCTTTCCTTAGATAAGTTTCGTATCATTTATTTTAAAAATATAAAGGGCAATTTTTTCACCTTGCTCCTTTTTTAAAATACTTTTGATAGTACTATAATTCTTGGACTCCATAGTAGATCTGATGTAAATTAGCTTCATATTATTATTTTTATATAGGGATAATTCTATATATCACTTAAAATAACAAATGGGATAATATAAAACTGCCAATTATAATCACATTAATTCTTGGTAATACCCAATTACAATGTTCACTTTGTCTGGTTTTGTTGCAAGCATGCCCCATATAAATGTTCTAAATAAGTTAACCTTTTTTAACCTAAGCATTAATATGTGTGATGAAATCATTGCACCATACAAAAAATTTTATTAATTTAATTACATGAATTTATTTATTTTATTTATTTAATATTTATATGAATGAACAAACATATTTAAATATTAATGTTGATGGACTTAATAAGCGAATTCCAAGATCAAGTGAATTTCACCTTTCTTTTGTCCTAATTTAACCCAAGTATCCGAATAACCTTTAGTAATAGCATCATGCAAATTAACTTTTGCTTCTCCAAGCTTTTGTTTTTTGGTGGGAAAATAAATTTAAAAAAAGCCCCCCAATTAGTAAAGAAATCACTATGATAATGATGAATTTAATGAATTATTTTACTTTATCATCCTTGATTAAATCTTTATCAAGCACTCTGACAGTAAGAGTTTTTTGTTTATCAACATCGACTTCACTAAAACAACAGTAATAAACAACAATATTATTATAAATATTATTATAAATATCAAATAATGATAACTAAAAACAAAGTTCCTTACAAGTTAAATACTTCATGGTATTTTGGATTAACTTGACCTTTCTTAGTAGCAGTTTTCTTTTTATCATTTTCATCAAGCCAAAGTTCAACATATGGATCACCTAATAGTTAATTCATCCAATTGATTTCTTATTCACATACACATACACATGCACATATATATTATATATATATATTATATTACTATTATAACCATTATTATCATTGTACCTTTTCCTAAAATAATCAAGATTAATTAGAAAATTGAAAAAATTACAAAAAATGATGGTATGCGAGTTGAAAACTCACCAAAGATATCTCCATCATCTAAATTTTTAGCTTCAACTATAAATTTAAAAAAAAAATTGTTGGAAAATAATTTTAAATTGATAAAGAAATAAATAAAAAACATACCAACAGTAAGTTTGAGCGTTCCTTTAGCCATTTTTTTTTTTTTGGTTATTTAAAATTTTTTTTTCCAAAATTGAAAAAATTTAATGTGGGAGGGAATATGGTGATTATATATAATGTATATATTTATATAACATGTGACGACATACAAAATAAATGGGGATAGTTCTCTAGCAAAAACCGGTTACGAACGGCATATTAATAGTAATAGGGAGATTTTAGTTAAATGTCGCAGCGAGTGAGCGGCGGCACGTGCACGAATTTATTTCAAGTATTTTAATATTAATATTGATATAATAAACAAAGCAATAATAATAAAACAAAAAACAGGACAAAACCACGGATTGTTTTTCTTCGCAGAGCACGAGCAGTAAACGTCAATTAACTAAATATTAATATTAATATATATTTATATATTGATTGCAAAAAAAAATTACAAAATGCAGCGGCAAGTAGAAAAGATTGATTTGTTCCACAACATGATAAATTATTTTTTTTTACTGCATTTAACCTTTTTCAATATTTTATATTCTTCTAACGTTGCTTCAGAGACCTTTAATTGAGCATAGTCAAAAACCGAGAATATGCAAGTTTTTTAGCGAAGGAGCTCGGCTCATTGCAACGTATATTTGTCATTCAGCAAATATGTTCTCATCGACATTTAACGACGCGGTTGGGCTTGTTTTATATAGGGCGTTTCCACTAATTAAACTGTCAGTGGGGGAGATGGTCTTAATGAAGCACGTAGATAAAAAAAATGGATGGCATGTTTTTTTTTTTTTTTTACGAAGAATATTATGAATTTGATCAATTAACATTCCTTCATTTTATACTCATTTTTATTACTCGAATTTAGAAGGCATTTCTTAAACTAATTTATTTTTATAAATTTAAACATTTAATGGTGACTTAATTATTTAAACATACACTGCCTGGAAGAAAGTATTGGAGCCTCGTTTTTTTATTAATTACACAAAAACCTACATGATAACTATAAATAAAATTTATATAATCATGTAGCTTAGGTCTTGGAAATATTTATATAAAATCCCACGTTTCTATCTTTCATAATTATTTGTTGGTTAAAAAAAAAACAAACTTCAATCAAATTCGCGATTTTCATTTTTGGATATTTTTTGAATTAGTATTTTCGCAAAACTTTACATAAAATTAGAACTGTTATTTTGTAGTTTAAGTTCTAAAGAATGATTGGTCGAAATTTTATTAGCAAAGAGTTTGTTATTAAAAATAATCAAACAGTGATAAAAAATTGATTAAGAAATTTGTTGCCTTTTAATAAGAACAAAATTTGGTGGTAGAGAATACAAATTTCAGGATGACAATGCACCAGTGCATACTGCAAAAAATGTGCAAAATTGGATAAGTAATAACAACATAAACATTTTGTCTAATTGGCCATCGTAATCTCCTGGTCTCAATCCAATTGAGCGTCTTTGGGATGAGTTGGAAAGAAGATTAAAATAACGTGAAAATTATCCCAAAATGTTCAAGAATTGGAGATTGCCTTGCAAGAGGAATGGTCTAACATTCCTGAAGAAGTTTATAACAAATTAATCGAAAGCATGCCAAGAAGAATCGAGGCATGCATATCCAATAATTAATAGCCAACAAAATACTAACTTTGATTTTTTTTATTTAATTGAAGTTTTTTTTTTTTTTTTTAACCAAAAAATAAATATGAATGATAGAAACGTGAGATTTTATATAAATATTCTTCAAGACCTAAGCTACATGATGATATAAATTTTATTTATAGTTATCATGTAGTTTTTGTGTAATTAATAAAAAATGAAGTTCCGATACTTTCTTCCAGGCAGTGTAAGTTTATATAAATCAAAGGGACGGAAGGGATGTAATTCATAGTCAGCTTAAGCTTTTTTTTTATTGGTCCGACATCTTTACTTTCTTTTATTATAAATAGAACTTCCATCCGTTCAAAAAAAATTTGGCGGCGCTTAACTTAACGTTAACATTAACGTAAATGATAACGTTAACGTTAACTTTAACTACTCTATATCTTTTTTTTTTCTATATACACAACGCAATCATTTTCATAACACTTGAAATTTCCTTTTTAAACATATTCTATATGAAAAAATGACCGAAAATCTCCTTTTTAAAGTTAAATACGTCGCACTAAATTAAATTCATCGTATGTATTCCTTCGTTAAAATAATAAAATTTAACCATTCTAATCATTGATCGATCAATGCTATAGAAGTAGATAAAAATCCATATGTCGATCCGGGGCAAAATCGACGAATTGAAATACTTCTCTCCAATATAACATGACAAAAATATTCCACAAATAATATGATTTTTAGATACATTAGAACCATAAAATTGCTTCACTTAAAAAAAAAAATTTTTTTGTACAGTCAACCCCTCTAAGTGCACCCTCCTTGGGAACATATCACTATTTCTCGTGAACATGGAAGAGGGTTGACTGTATAATTAGTGATACAAATTTGGGACTGATCTACTGATTTCAACCAATCAATTAACAGATTCGTCAACTTTCAACACTGCATACTTGGATTTACTCCTTTTCCACCTTCATAACACTGAGTTTTATTTAATCCAGCTGGACTAGATTTTTTCACAACATCAAGTACATGGTCCAGATAATCTACTCTTGTTTTTCTGTAGAGTTATTGAATTGTCCTAAGATATGATTGGTATTACAAAAAACTCACATAGTTATTCCAGAGCATCTTCGAGAATTAGGTCTCATTGAATAAAATTAAAATTTTAAATGCCTTTACATTTCACTATTATTTTTTTTTTAATTATAATTTTTATTAATTCTTATTTCATCCATACTATATGCAACGTAAATTCTCTATTCCCTTCTTTTGAATTAATATGTTTCGGAAGTGTCAATTTTAATATATATTGTCAAATATAGAAAAAATGTCATATTTCACCTGTTTGCTGCTGAATTTGTTTTAGCCTGCATACTATTTGGAAGAAAATCTTAAAATAAGTGTAAAAAAAAAAGAAATGCGTAATCTTGGGATGGGAATGTCAGGATGGGGATGAGGAGGGGTGGGCGTTGATTTACGTTTTCTTCATGCTCTTGTGATGCTTGAAATTTTATTATTAAGTAACAAGCAATGTACACTATATTAAGTAAAAAGTATAAATTTTAACATTTAATAGAATACATGGAGGACTTGAAGAATTCTACCAGTAATATAAAATACAACTTGAAGCTCAAGCAAATTCTTAATGAACAAGTCTTTCATTGCTGAAAGAGTTTTTGGCACACACAGTGTTGCCATTTCCATAAAGAAATAAAATTTTTAAACCAGGATTGTATGATAGAAAATAAATAGACCTAAGGATTTTGTTGAGACAAAAGATGAACACGAAACAAATAAAATCAATCACTAAAAATTTATATATTTCATACCAGTGACTTGAATTCCAATAGTAGAAATGTCTGCCAAATCCTTTTTATTGAATGAAGCTTATTATAAAAATCATCCGTCATATCTTTTATTTCAATTTTTATGGCAGTATGATCCAGGGTTGGCAAATTGACTGGTCCATTGCCATTAATAAAATACTAAATATGGTTAAAGTGTTATGCAAATGGACCCAATGGACCACCAATAAGCCATCAATGGACCGCACATTTGCCAACCCTGGTATGATTAGATTGTGATTTAACTTCATCTTTCTTCATCTCAGTGTTTCCAACTTCCACTGTCATGACTTCAATATTAAAATTTCGAATCTCCAAAGACATGTCTAATTTAGTGGAATCCTTGTTAATTGTACATTAATTTTTCTTCATTTTCAAGAATTAATTGCATTACATATTCTTTCAATCCTAAAATTTTATAAACAATTAAGTCTAACAATAAATTTACAAACACTGAATGCACAGAAAATGATTTAGGCAACATACCAAAATAGTTCGAATTGTCCAATATTAAATTTTTGCAATAAATCTCCAAATAATGGGCATAATATTGTTTATAGATGCTGTCCAAATTAAAAATCAAGAATCCCAAATCCCAATTACTTTGTAGATCCCAATGTTGATCAATATTTCTGCTCTGCTTTTCTAACTAATAAGAACATAGGATTACTGATCACTTCCACAAATCCTAGGCACTTATTGATTGGGAGATAGAATGCCATGGGTGTACAAAGTAGTTTGGGATTTGGATTTCTTTGACAGGCTGGCCCAAATTCACTTTGTACATTTGGGATGCCATAATCCCAAATGATTTGGGTTTGGGCAGCATGTATAATATTGTTAATATATATATAATCATGCTCTCTAAGTGGAGTTATTAAGATATTGATCTTGTGACAACAACATTTATGACTATGAAAAATAATTGCTTTAGAGAATAAATAACATCAATCCAATGTCTTAAATCATGTAACTTACAAAAAAGAAATTATTTCAGATGCCAATGTAGCATCTTCTGAACCAAATAAGGATACCGGCTGCAACTTTTGATGATGGTTGCTACCATCTTTGTGTCATATAAAAATGATTACAACCGCTGGTTGCAACCACCTTTACAACCATTTTGTTTCCTTTTTTGGATTGTGACATGGAACACTAGAACCAAATTTTGCAAGT